ATAAAATTCCTCATTTGAACATGGATAATAATGATTTGGACGCTAGTCTAAATCCTGATTGCGGGGTACTACGGGAGCCAATGTAAATTGCTGTTTGAAAGCTACTTTATCGCAATGTAATTTTTTTTTAAATAAGAAAAGCATATACGAAAATACACAAATTCAAGGTATATGTAGTAAAGTAATACACGATCAAAATAAAAAAAATTAGAGAGAAAACAAAGTAAACAATCTAAATTTAGCGAATAGTCATGCAAGGATCAATTTTGATTTATATATAACAAACAAGTCTCAATTTTTGTAGTACCACATTAAATTGATCTGCAAACTAAATGGAAATCTTTATGGAATAAACTCTTGCTAGGTTTAAAATATAAAAAATACTTGCCTTTAGTATGCTTGTGCCTGACAGAGGTCTGGAAGATTTAATAGAACGGTAACTGATGAAAAACAAGACCTATACGATCTATAATGAGAAAATTGCTCAAATTAGACTAAAATCTATTTAAATATTAGGCGAAGCACAAATCGGACCAAGATAACGATTGAGTATGTTCAAGAACGGACCACAAAAGCAGTAATTCCTCTCATCAAGAAAATATAGCAACTTAAAAGCTGAAATCAATTGTAATGAAAAGTCGTAATTATAAAAGTGATTACTTTATTGTTCATATACTTGGCAATAAAACCGATGCAGTAATAAATACATAAATTGAGTTCATGTTAAACAAGTGCACACAGGGTAGCATTCGGTCACATATTAGGTAGGACGAAGTAATATCTACCATTGCACGAATTTATGTACAAAAGGAAATGCAAAAATAAACACAAGCAAATGATACTTTGCTTGGAAGGAATGATTAGGCAAAGGAAATAGACAAATAAAAATATAAGCGTAAATCATCATTTATGTGGAGTTAAAATAAGTTGTAAAAGTTATACAAAAGTCAGGATACTTTATATCTAATATAAAAAAGAAACGTAGTAAATAAATGCTGGTAAATTTAAAGTGTTTTCATAATTAAAAACGTCTTCAAAGAATATGGAAGTTAATACAAATTAGTCTGCAAATATCCTACGTAGAAGGAAAATGAAGAGGGGATTTCCTGTTGTTATAAAGTGTGAGATTATGGCGAAAGGAAAATCGGCACAGAAAGCTTAAGGAATGTACTTCGGAAAAACGGCTCACAGGAAAAAGAAGACGAACTTCATTCCTGGACCGAGCCTTGTTAGACTCAAAATTAAGAGCATCGCCGGTCTCGAGATTGCTAATCTCATTCTCCTTAGCTCCGTTAGGAAATTCGCCACTATTTTCTAGTTGAATTCGAGTCACACCTTCTGCCCTGGTAGATAAAATATCCTTTTCGCCAGATTTTGTCGTAATGCAACGGGATTGGTTCGCATCTAAGCCGATTTGAGTGTTTTCCTCTTCGATTGATGGAGAAATAGGTGCTTCCGTCAACCGCGAGAGACAATAAGGTCCGTCACGTGATTTCAAAACAGCACTATCAATCAGGTCTGAGATAGAATCATACGCCTCACCCTGAAACACGAGAGGATTAAGACATGGCTCGGTGAACATCAAATGATTGTACGTAATTACTAACCTTCAAGAAAGCATATTTTTGGTTCTCAAAGGATATTCTGTTATTGAATATCTGTTCGTCTGCCCCTCGGAAAGTGAGTGTAAAGCGAGATGAGTCCCTTTCGCTATCTCTGACCAAGAACGACCCATATGGCTTGTCCATTAAGATAAGGGTAGCCTCTCGGCGACTCAACGGACCCCAATACCAAGGTTTTGAATTCAGCTCAATATAATCATGTGGGGCAACTAATGAGATATAAAATAAGCCGGAATCTAAAACTATTATTTATAACCTGACCTACCTGTCTCCAGGTGAATCCCAATGCCGTCTAAGGTACGATGGTGAAAGGTGGGATCAATATTGACGAAATCGTGATGTGCAGCCGCGTTTGAATCAGAAAGGGCATCCTTGGGGGGTGAAAATGTAGATGAGTTTCTGTGTCGGCGAAATCTATCACGCAAAAAGTTAAAGATTTTTAGTTTTTTGGCAGGCCTATCATCAATTCTATTAGATTTTTTCCCATTTTGCCGAACGTTTTGATTGGTAGAAGAAGGATCAACTAACTCCCCCATTATGTAGAATTGAATAAGGGAAACTAGCGCGGGTGAAGATAATAAGAAACGCGCTAAAATATAAAAGGAAGCAAACAAATCCAAACTTCGTCGCTTAGCTCAATAATAATTCCAAAAATAGGACTTCATATTATTGATTTAATTTTAATAGATGCAGGCATCCAGACTTTCTATGCATCTATTCATTTAAAAGAGATAAGTTTATACATTTGCAGATATATTATGATTATATTGTTAAATTTGGTGAATTGATATACAAATAAAATAATTAATTGATGTGATTTCATTGATAAAATAAACCTTAGAAAGTAGCTTTCTATTACAGGAGTTATTAGGATTGCAATTTCAGGGTTCGCAGGCTTGAGTACTTTACCTGGTTTCCCAAGCTGCAGGAACAAGATAAATCTAACAGTATACAGTTTAAAGAGACTATGAACAAACCAAAATTTACATTATTCTAGTTTTTATAGCTACAAAACAAAACTTTGTTCACTCATTGGTAAGATCCATTAAAGAAAAGTCATTCTCCGAAATTTATATATCACCCTCAGGGTATTTTAATAGCGCATGGATATCTAACTGCAAGTTTTAACTTGCTCTCATTGATGGTAGTACTGATTATAATTATAAAGTATGGGAACAGGCCACAGAAAAAGGAAAAATTATAGCCTAAAAGCATTGGTTATGCTCATTTACAATCGAAATTGAGGGCATAAAATTAAATAAAAAGCGAATATATTGAATATCTGTTCGTCTGCCCCTCGGATATTGAGTGTAAAACGAGGCGAGTCCCTTTTGCTATTCACGAAATTATTATCAAGCTTGGGGTTTTAGAATATTTAGATACATAACACAATTTTAATGAGCTAATAAGTCTCCACTATATATACCTAATTTATATCAATTAGGTGGTAAAGTAGTAGTCCACTTTCTAAGTTTATGATAGTTTATGCAGTTTTTTTATAGGGCTTTATGCTATAAGAAGTTTCAAAGCTTCCACTATATCTTGAGTAGGAGCTGTTTTCAGCCTCGGTACAATACTTTGAGTAAGGACTGAAAGCTGAATTTTCCGACGATAATATAAGTAGGCCGCTTGTCTCTCCAGCAAAAATTTCTTACAGGTAACGAAATAATTACTTAAAAGAGACCCTTATTTCGTTTAAGTAGATTTGTTCGTTGTTACTTGCCACACTTTAGGTTATGAATACTTACTAATTCTCTGATTTTTGAAGTACACGACTTATTACTAATTAATGCGTGGTTCTAACATATATACGGTAAGGTAAATATATCGTGTGGTTTTTTGTGTGGTCGCAGTCTCCTTTCG